ATTATTCTTACCTTTCGAAATGTAATTGTACTTGGTGTATTAGAAGTAGTAGATATACATCTGTAGTAGTAGTATAATTGGCTCATAATATTAATTTAAAAGGAAAAGCTTTTGCAGAGAAAGAAATCTAAGATAGCATGAGTCATGATTTATGAGAGGAAAAAAAATAAAAAAAATAATATTATTCTTATTTGAAAAAGATAGAGGAGAGAAAAGAAAATAAACTGAGTTTTTTTTTTTTTTTTTTTGAGATTAGTTTTAAATTATGAAAATATTATTTAACTAGTACATTTTCTCTTTGAACAAATTATCCTTTTTTTTTACTTTTCTTTTCATCACTCCAAATCATTCAATTGAAAAAAATTAATGCTATGATGCGTGACTTGTGAGAAAAAAATAATAATAGTATTCTTATTTGATCGCAGTGATGATGAAAAGAAGAATGATTTAGGACAGGGAAAGTTATACTCTCCGGATTATGCAATTCAAGTGAAGACAGGGGCAAAGATGGTTGGAGGTGCTTCATCTTCAAAATCATCTGCCTTGCCATCGTCCAAACTTTAATTACTTCACACACATATAATGCTTCAATATTCCATTAGCTTTCTATGCCATTAATTGCTCGTCCAGAAATATATATACATATATTATTATTATTATTATTATGCAGGTGGAAGGGCAAGGGTACTACTGTTGTTCTTACCTTAAAAAAAGGAAATGAAAATAAAAAGTGTTAAGGTTGCTCCTTTCTGTTTTACTTGATTTGTTAATTTTGGAACTGAACCAATTACTACTCGCTTTATCAAATCCAATTCCAAATATCTTTCCATTAATAATTAATTTAATTATGTAATCAAAGGAGTTGTTATTTTATTATTATTTCTTTCTCTTTCTCAATTTTTTTTTTTAGAAAGATTAAGGGTTCAATTCTCTGTAGAGAACTGATCCTTGTTAAGTGTTATTGGAATTTCATTTCTTGGGGAAAATATTTTTCAGTAAAAGCTCGGAATTGAGGATGACTTATTATAAGGGTGGGCAAGAGCAATAAAATTAATCAGCCTTCTATCATAATACCATCTTATATCTTCTCATACACTACTACAACTACATAATTTCATTCTTAGGTTCACTACAAAAGATCAGCCAACAACACACACACACACACGCATTAACCAGTCGAATTATCATAAATAACCAGTATCAAGCTGTACATTAATATGCTGAGAAAATGCACATGGCTTATAAGAGAATGGAAACGGTAAAGAAATATCGGGAGTATAAAATAAATAAAAAAAATAAAAAATAAATAAAATTTGTCAGATATACTTTACAAGATATACCTCTCTTTGAAGAATAAATACCAAATAATGGGGTCAACAATCTGAGAAAGATGATCAAGTGTTCTTCTCTAGAACCAAGAGTGCTAGTGTCAAATAGTTATTTGCTTTGTCCGGTAAATGTGCAACATGCTCAGAGGTGTTAAAAATAAATTAATGCCATGTTCATTATGCATTTTGGGGTTACTCATGTATCTATTATTATACATGTATCAAGCAGATACATGTATCAAGTGAGTGCATGTATCATGTGTGTGGTTGATAATTGTCTTAGAAAGTTCAAAGGTCTATGGAAGAATAGTATATATAGTGTAAGGGATTTGTTGTTAAGAGATATCAACACAACAAAGAATTCAATACAATACAAAAAAATATCTGTTTCTTCATTTTTCTCCTCTCTTCACTTGGAAATTATTTAGTTGGTTGAAACTACAGCCAACATAAGTGGAATCAGAGCTTGATTTCAATCAAGAGCAAACTGGGCGTGAAGCTTATTGACGGGAAAACAAACACCGAAGAAGATTGATTGTGATGGCAACTACAGGCAATCAAAACCAAAGTGCCCATCAATCAGCACTTCCCATTTTTTATGAGAAAAATTATGATTTTTTGTATGTGAAGATGAAGACCATTTTTCTCTCATATGATTTATAGGATTATGTTGAAGATGAGTATGATGAACCGGAGGATATAACAATTTTGACGAATGCCCAAAGACAACAATTGAAAGATCATAAGAAGAAAGTTGCAAAAGCTTTAGGCTTGATTCAACAAGGAGTTGCTGATACAATCTTTCCCAGAATTATCAATGCTTCTAAAGTAAAAGAGGCATGGGATATCCTCGAGAAGGAGTATAGAGGCAGCACGAAGGTAAGAACTGTAAAACTCCAATCTTTGATAATAGATTTTGAAAATATGAAGATGAAATAAATGGAGTTGCTGAAAGATTATTTTTCTAAACTTATGGAGGTGGTAAATCAAATGAAGAATTATGGGGAATATATTTCTAATCAAAGAATTGTTGAAAAAATTCTAATTAGTTTGCCGGAAAAATATGACCTATTGTTGCTGTTATTGAAGAGACTAAAGAGCTTGAAAACTTGAGTGTTGAAGAATAAAAACATTTGAGCAAAGGTTGAGTAGGCGCTCCGAAAAGACAATTGAAAGTGCTTTTCAATCCAAGCTCAATGTTAGTTCCAAAAATAAAGAAAAATACCTATCAAGTTTTGATCGATCTAAAGGTGAATCTTCTAGAGTTGGAAGACACAGAAGAGGAAGAGGAAGAAATAACTTTGAGAGAAGTGGAAATATAGAGTCCGCTCAACAAAATTGTGGAATTTGCAAGAGAAGTAGCCATGTTGACAAAGATTGTTGGTTTCGGGAAAAACCACAATGTTTCAATTGCAAGAAATTTGGACATGTTCAAAAAGATTACCTGTTGAAAACAAATCAGCAAGCTAATTTTCCCAAAGAGCAAGAAGGTGAAGCGAGCATGTTTTATGCTTGTCACATGACATCAGAACAAAAGGATGATGTGTGGTTTCTTGATATTGGGTGTAGTAACCACATGACTGGAGATAAAAACATATTCTTGGAGATTGATTCTTTATCAAATTCTCAAGTAAGGATGGGAAACGGTGTCTTGGTCCAAGCAAAAGGAAAAGGTACTATTGCCGTAGAAACAAAAAAAGGAAGAAAGCATATTCGGGTTGTGTTACTTGTTCCGGATTTGGAGCAAAATTTGTTAAGTGTTGGACAGCTTGCAGAGCATGGATACTCCATTCATTTTGATAAGGACTTTTGCAAAATTTATAACAAAGGAAGACAAAATCATATTGTGACAAAAATCAAGATGGGCAAAAATAGAAGCTTTCCTCTCACTTTTTCATGTTCAAAAAATATGAAATTGAAGATGGATGTTGTTGATGAGTCATGGCTTTGGCATAGAAGACTTGGGCATCTGAATTTCCAAAGCTTAAAGAATTTACAACAAAATAACATGGTGTATGGGCTGCCAACAATACAAGAAGTTAAAGAAGTTTGTGAAGATTGTGCTCTTGGCAAGCATCACCGAGAGTCATTTCCGAAAGAGAAGGCACATGGAGGGCTAAAGCACCATTGGAACTTGTTCATACCGATGTGTGTAGACCGATGACAACACTAACTCAAGCGAGTAACAAGTATTTTATTATTTTTGTTGATGATTTTTCAAGAATGACATGGATTTATTTCATAAGACAAAAATCCGAAGTGTTCTCTATTTTCAAAAAATTTCAAAAGCTTGTTGAAAGGCAAAGTGGTCATCTTATCAAAGTGTTAAAAAGTGATAGAGGTGGAGAGTACAACTCAAATGAGTTTGAAAAGTTTTGTGAAGATATTGGCTTGGAGAGACAATTAACGGTTGGATACACTCCATAACAAAATGGAGTGGCAGAAAGAAAAAATAGAACAATTATTGAGATGGGAAAATTAATGCTTCATGAGAAAGGGCTACCTAAATCATTTTGGGATGAAGCCGTGTATACGGATGTTTACTTGATGAATAGGACTCCAACAAAAGCGGTGGAGAATAAAACTCCATTTGAAGCATGGAGTGGAAAGAAGCTATCATTGAACCACTAAAAAGTTTTTTGAGTGTATTTGTTTTGCTTATGTTCCAAGAGAAGTGAGGCACAAACTTGATGAAGCTAGTGAAAAATGCATCTTTGTGGGTTATAACTCAAAATCAAAGGGTTATAGACTCTTTAATTTGAAGAAGAATAAATTGATTATTTGTAGAGATGTTCTCTTTAATGAGAAGGTTGCTTGGGATTAGAAAGAGAAGAAAGTTTAAGATCAAATCTCCATTTTCAATGAAGAATCAGGAAATCAAGAAAATGAAAATGAAGATTTTCTTGAAGTTCCACAAGAAATGTCTCCCGTATCTAACTTGCAATCAATCCCAACTTTTCCATCAAACTCAAAGTCTTCATCTCCAAGTTCAACTCCAAGAAGAATGAAAAGTCTTAGTGATGTGTATACAAGTTGCAATTTTTGTGTTGTTGAGTCGAAGAGGTTTGAAAATACAATTAAAAAAGTGGCAAGGAAGAAATTTAAGAAGAAGAGGAAGAGGATGAGATTCAACTCAAGTATTGCAAGACCGAAGATCAAGATGCGGATATCTTCACCAAAGCACTTCCAAGAGATAAGTTTGAATACTTAAAAGAATTGTTAGGTGTCACAACATGGCATTAAGGGGGGTGTGTTAAAAGTAAATTAATGTCATGTTCATTATGCATTTTGGGATTATTCATGTATCTGTTATTATACATGTATCAAGCAGGTACATGTATCAAGTGAGTGCATGTATCATGTGTGTGGTTGATAATTGTCTTGGAAATTTCAAAAGTCTATGGAAGAATAGTATATATAGTGTAAGGGATTTATTGTTAAGAGATATTAACACAAACAAAGAATTCAATACAATACAGAAAAAATATCTGTTTCTTCATTCTTCTCCTCTCTTCACTTAGAAATTATTTGTTGGTTGAAGGTAGAGCCAACAGAGGAGATGAATCAATGTGCAGTTTATATCTATGTCATTGCAACCATAAGAAAAATATTCTGAATCAAAATTTTGAGTTTCAATATATATATATATATATATACACACACACGTCCATTACCAGCTCATAGAGCTCCTGTCCTCGCTCAGCCACACACTCGTAACATACCTAGTCATAAGCAAGCACAAATGCCTCAGCTCCATCAAACTAAAATTGACAACAAAAGAACATATTATGTTACCCACATCAAAGCTTTTGTTCCTTGCAGTTGAATCGTGCAATGCCTTCACACAGATATCAGCCACATCGGCACAGCTGATGCCCTACAATTATCATGGATGGTGTGAGCCCATGGTTAGGTCCAAAAGTGACTTGCAAAGAGTTTTTTTACCCTCACCTGAGAAATTCTGTTTCCTTGATCAAATATGAGAGCATGTTGCCCACCAGGTTCTTCCTGAAAGAACGAATCTCTTTACTTGCGCTGTCATGTTTTTTAGGGGAAATAATTATCAAACTCACTGGAAAATTATCAAGATTAAACATTTGGTTAACGTATTCTCACTATATAATATTCACAGAGAAAAAGGGTAGCACTAGGTATCAAGTTGAATGCAAGGGAATACAAAGCTGAATGCAAGGGACGTAATCTTTCTGCCCATAGGGCTCTTAGCAGAACATGGGTTTGAGCTGAAGACGGGTTTTACAGGCTCTAATTAACAATTGTAACCCCCATACTCGTAGATTATTGTGAACCATTACTGCCAGAAATACACTCATGTGGAATAAAGGACAATATCCAGAAGAAGACCCATCATTATTTGAACTTTTTCCTTATTTGGGGATGGGAGAGTGGGTTGAAGTGGAGATAGCAGTGAAGGAGAGGCCTTCCCCATTTGTGCTGTCACAGAAATTAATTCTGTGATTAAAGAAATATATTTATTACTTGGATAATGAGTTGGTTATTAGTACTCGAATATTCAAGTCATGACTTGGTCTACCATGTCAAAACCTGCCATTTTGACATAGATATCAGTACAGTGCCCAAGAATCCAATTGATTATGACCTGGCAAAAGACCTGTAATAATAAACTGACCAAAATTTCCGTCGTAATCAAAAAACATTTTTCCCCAAAAAAAGTAATAATTCAATATCAGTCAAGTTGCTCCTGAATATAGATCACAAACCAATCATGTTTGTGTAATAGATTTACCTTTAGGGGACCAGGGCGAATGATTGTGTACCCAAGGCCAAGGCCTGATCTTCTTAAGGATTCTTCCCCGGCCTAAAAGGAACACCGATAACACAGTCACTTTAAATGCAAACAACTTAAAGGTGAAGCAAAGGGAAGAAAGCTGGAGAAAGGGCCAACCTTCTTGGCTCTCAGGACCTGCTCCCTTCTGGTAGATTCTATTCCTAATCATGTACACGAAACTAAGATGAAGTCTGTTTCTTGCCCAGTCTGCAAACAAATGATTATCAGATTCCTTTTTCAGGGTGAGAGAGAAAATTTAGCAACTTGTAATTTCTATAGCAGGCACAGGAATTTTCCGCATTGTAGTTAACCAAAAAAGCAATAACGAACATAAGACGTGAAAAGACGGCTGCTTTTGTCTCACTAATTTCTCTTTTGGGACTCTTGTTATTGTACGGTAAATAATAATAATTTATTAGTAAAAAAATTTCTTTGTAGTCTCGGTAGGTTTATCACTTGAAGCATAAATAAATATCATGAGAATGAGAGCAAGTACAGCTCTCTATTCCAACATTCTCTCTCTTATTCTTTTTCTTTCTTCTTTCATCTTTATTGAAAAAACAACTTCATATACCAGATTTTTTTACTTAGGTGAAATACATCCTAGGCATCATTGAATTTCCTACTCAACTCAATAACTTTGTTCTAACTATTTGAGGTTGGCAACATAATTTTGTTTCGCTATCTTACTCAAGCGTAAGCCAAAATTTCAGTGAAGCTGCTAACTATCATGTCTTCACATTCCTCTTCACCAGGCAATACTATCTCTTTTCCTCACTGGTGCATGACCAGTCTTAGTTGATTTTCTTCTATGTGATCTCCAGTTATCCTCGTCTTAACACAGTTACCTCAGCATTTGCATTTTGACCATAATCATTTTATGAACAGTAATTTCTTAACCACCCAATATTTTGCAAAGATGGCCTAATAGTTGTTTAAAAAATTTCCTCACTTTTGAGTTATACATCAACCACACTGTATTCTGGAACACCTTGACTTATGTTTTAATTACACGAGCTACATCATCTTCACTCCTATATCCTCACTTGTATTCGTAGTTTTGCTAAAAGAACAAGGAGGAAGTCACAATGCATGGAATTGTTGATAAACAGTGTTTTCAGAAAATCGAAGTGAATTTTGAAATAGATGATTGTCCTCAAGTAGATTCAGCGTATGAAAAGTTCTAAATGAGAGTAGTCTGAATGGACGTCTTTGTTTTGAGAATAAGAGACGGCAAGACCGTGGGAATTAAAAAGAAAAAAAGAACTGAAAAGCATAGGGAACATTTTACTGTCGACTCAGATGAGTGTAGGTATGGAAACCCAGATTTACTAAACAGCCAACCTGTATATATGACCTAAATTGGTGTTGGATATTGATGATATTTAATTATGGATTTCGCATCTGTAGGTCATGGATGCCAAATATTCAAACTAATTGAAGTTGGAACCTTAAGTTTTCCAAATCAAACAAACAAAAAATATAAAGAACAACGCAAACAACGCACCTTATGAATATTGAGGGAATAAAATAATAAATAAATTATAATAAAAATTCCATTAATAAATAATTAAAATTATTTAACTCGTACATGGCTATCTTACTTTTCTATTAGGACTCTTAGTAGAAACACCCAGAGCAAGGATGCAAACTGAATTTTAACACTAACCAAGCTATTTTAGGATCCCATCCGCGTCAAGGAAAAGGGGAAAAAGAAAGATAAACCAAAAAAAAAAATCACGTATGCTTCAACTAATATTCCAGCCCGCGTAATAATCAAATAGAAAGTTTTTTATGGCCGGCCTGGTACGTAATGAATGACATCAATATATACATATAATATATACTTTAGATACATTTTGTATCTTTCACTGTGACGTCTTACATCACATCCAAAATAAGTTTCAATATGACGTTTTACATCATGCATCTTAGAGAAGAAGTTACTGATAATTAATATGTGTAGATAAATTTTGAAAATTACGAGTACTTTTTTGTTTCAGTTGTTTTGTAGTATACTTGATTTTGGAAGTGAACCAATTACTAGTTCTATATCATTTCTAGGCCCATGCATAAAGGATGAAACTAATTGAGTTTGTGTTATTATTATTATTGTTTTTATTATTTTATTAGATTAATTTGGATATTTGGGGCTTTGCCCCGACTAATTTCAAAGGACTTAGAAAGGGCGTCTCCTCACCTTGATTTGGGTAAGTTACTAAGTATGGTTGTGGAGGCATAGCCCCGAAGAATTGTTTACACTGAGTGAGAGTCAAACCTCATACCTAATTCTTCATGAGACACCACGGCCAAGTGACCAATGAGCCTTGGATTTTTTGTGTTACTTCTTCTTGTGGCATGGTGTGAACTATCGTGTGGACTTAACAAATCTTTTACCAAGAAGTTAACAATGAAATGATTGCTGATTTTTGTAACAGATGAAATATTTAGAGAAATGTGAACTACATCGCTTATGATTTGATCTTGATTAATTTATAGTTCATGAAGTAGAAAACTTTACATATTTTCCTGAATAGCTTATTTCAAAAGAGGTTCTGCTTTCTACTCCTTACTAAATTCTAATGTACTGTTAGTTATTATTATTAGGAGTATTATTTTCTTCTAGTTTGAAATACTTTCATTTGCTATATGAAGAGATTGCCTTATATTGCTCAAGTACTGAATATTGATACGAAAAACCTTTCTTATAGTCTTATAGTTGGGCCAATTTGGCATCCAAGACTAATGTCACGCCCCCGACTTGCAGAAAGGTAACTACTACATATAAGCGGCAGGAGAGCGTTGAGGAAAACTCATTTGCAAGGCAGGAGAATAATTGAGTTCTAGAGTCCTTTGAAAGATTGTGGAGGGTTGGAGAGGGTGAGAACTATAATATAAGAGAGATATTGTGTTGGTATGGGTAGAGAGGATTCTAGATCATAGTAGGGAGTTTTGTAGAAGGTAAGTAATTATAAGACATTTACGTAGAATGTTTTAAAAAGCAGGAGTTATATATATAGGGTGAGGGTGTCATTTGTAAACAAGTGAATAGAGTGTGAACCTAGAAAAAGAAAGCTTTCATTTTCAGTACAAAATTTAAAAAATTGCCTCAAACTTCAACATTTAAATGAGCTTGCAAGAGATTTTTGCATCAACAATTAATTGTTTTTGAACACTCCTAATATCTTAAACTCCATTAATCGATTCACCCCAGCATGAGTAGAAATTCGGTTAATTTTGTTCTTTATATTAAATTGTTTTGAATATATATCTTTCTAGAGTGTATATATATATATACATATATATATAGAAAGAGAGAGATATTTTTGGAATTAAATTAATTTACAAATAATAGAATATAAGGATTAAGGAAAGAAGAAAAAAACCATAAAACATATACATAATTTTATGAGAAAGGAGAAAAAAATTCAGGGGCACTTTCCATATTTTCATATAAAACATATATATTATTATAAAATATATATATATATATATATATATATATATATATATATATATAAAAGAGAGGAAGAAAATCCAGGGGCACTTAACTCCGTCCGTCCCTACCAGTTACTAATAAAGTTTGAGTCCTAATAATTGAATTAGAAATTTTTTTCCTTCTATTTTCTCACCATATCAAATAACAGAGTTGTTAAAAAAAAAAAAAAAAAAACCTACTAATATCAATTACGTACTAAAGCCCTAATAATTATATATATATATATACTACACATGGTTTAAATGTTCAAAAAAACTAATACACAGAATTTTTAATCATTTATAATTTTTTATAATGTAATTTTAAAAGTACAAAATTATATATATTTGGTGAATGGGTAAACTTGTATAAGATGGGCGCAGCAAGCCAACAGGAGAAATTCCTCATCTCAGCATTACTCTTCAACTTAATGGATGCATACCTGGCCCTGATACAACTTTTGATAAGACATTCCATGTATAGAGCAGTGGAAGACTTGTTCCTGAATGCTTTTGAATTCCTCTCTTGCCAAATGAAGTAAATTGCAGCAGAAATGAACTTATGTGAAATGAAATGATTATGTGACCATGTAATTGAGCACCGCTCTATGAACTCATTCCAGTTGCAAGACATAATGTTAAAGGGGAAACCAGCTGCATGTGGTATGAATTCCTATATGATACTACTAAATTTACACTTAAAGAATAAGTGATCAATTTTTTTTTTTAGATTAAAAGGTAAGCTTGTATAAATGAAAAATAATGTACAAGGTAGTCCTATAAGATAGGAACAACAAGCTGCACAAGGTAGCAGCACAATCCCAGCCAAATACAAATGGTAGGAACCAAACATAGCAAGCAAAATACATAGCAGGTTACAAAACTAGGCTTCTGCAAGTTCAAGCAAACCTAATGCGATATAAACATAAGAAGCAACCATCCAAGCAAGCATCCTCCAGTAGACATTTCTAAGCCAAGATTAAGTGACAGCTAGAGCCTGAGCACAGGCATTGCTGCATCCATCGAGGAACAGTTTCTGCAAGTCTTCAATTCTCATAACACTCCTCATATCAGAAGCCTTATTTAGCTTAATTGAGGCCAGCTTTCCTTTTAAACATTTCTTTATCTGAGAAATGACTATGGTTGGGGATAAGGATGTGTTCCTGAAGGCCCTATTATTTCTTTCCATCCATAGAAAGTTGACAGCAGTTGAGAGTAGTAACTTATGCACTAGGAAATCATTAGCACTCCAATGTGCAGAACACCATAAGATCAGTTCTTTCCAACTAGATGGCTGAATGTACATCCCAATTGTGTGTTGAATGAATGATGTCCACACCACCTTTGAGAACTCACACTGGAAGAATAGATTGTCCAAGGATTCATTGTTGGCTAGGCAAAGAAAGCAAACATTGATGAGATGTTTGTGCTTCATTGGTTTTTTGTCAAAAGTATAGAGTCTTCCTTTTGTGGCTAACCAAGCAATAAAGCTATGCTTGGGAATATGATGTTTAAATCAAATG